GGGATCTTTAGTGCATGTCTGTTGCTGAGAATCACAGTGATGAGTTACCTTTAATGTAATAGTTGAGAGCTAAGTTAAAATACCTGTGTAATTCAAGCAGCATTTTCGATGGACTATTTTTAATATGTTAATTAGCACAGCATTACAGCAATGGTCTTTGTACAGCTCATTGACCAGCACTGCCTTTAGATCATATCCAGAGCATGCTGAATCCTCATTTCATGGGCTTAAAATGCTGGAAGGATTTTACCAATGGTTAAGAAAAATGTGTGTGTCAGCTGTGGAACTCTGTGTGTTTTGATAATATCAAGTGTTCTGCATCAGGAAATGGATCACAGTGTGCATGTTTCATTCTCCTTCATTGAATTTCAAATTGGGGGATCATGGGCCCAAAAGCCAGTATTTAAGGGGCTGTTTTTCTGACTGTATGTGATTAAATACGTTCTCCTACAATGGAAGTAATTAAACTGTCAGTGGGTGAGGATGTAAATCTGAGTCCTGCAGACTTTATTGGAAAACTCATTCTTGAAAGGCTCGAGGAACTCTATACTGCATAAAAACACTGAAGTGGGATTTTTTAAAAATTATTTTGTAAGTCATGACAGAAATAGAGAACTAATTTTAACAATTCAAAATGGTAAAAACATTTTAAATGCAAGGCTTTAGCTTGGCATATTTCTCCAGGCAGGTCCATGTTGGGGTTGTTTGCTCAAGGTGGAACTTGAGCAGGCTCATGCAGATTTGGAACTGAAGTTGTGGTGCACAAACACAACAGACCGGTCCAATGAAATTATTTTTTGCAAATATTCACATTCTTATCTGTAGACCCTGCTAATATGTTATGTGACAACAAAGATGAGAACTCTTTTTCCTGGAATGAATTTCATTAGCATGTAATTTTCCTGGTAACTTCATAATAAAAAAGCTTTGCATTAACATGAGTTCAAAAATTTAATGAAGTCATAGGCCAATTGCATTTGCTTTTTTGGAGTAAAGGCCAAGGAATATTTTTGGAGATATACAAACTGCCCCTTGTATTCCATGTCTATTACATGAATGGCAGCTGTCCACAGTAGATGGAAAGTATCTTTGCCTATCTTTGAGTATTTTAGTCTCTCTTGAGGTAAATTCTCAGTGTAAGATGGGTCACTGAAGGTACCAGAAGACTCAGTGAAAAGGAAGTAGTGACTTGCTCCCCTAACTATAAATTAAGAGTCTTAGCGTTGAGTTAGTCCTACCCAGCTAATTTTCAAGTGAAAAAGGCATTTTTCCTTTGAAATGAAGACAACTGAGACTTTTCATGGGGGTCTGCCCTGTTCAGACTTAGAGGAAAAGGCTCCTTGTGGCAAGTCTAGGGCTGTTTTACTTAATCCACTCCAAAGAGAGGGAACTATGCTTGTCCATCAGAATTGGAGTAGCATTTTCTCAGTTCCAGCTGGTTTTGGGGAGGGCAGGGATCTGGTGTTTGGGTTTCCTTAAGGACTGGTTATCAAATTCCCAAAAGTCCCAACAAGGACCTTGGTCGTCAGACTAAAATCAGAAATCAATTTTTTTTAGGGCATGTCTGTTATCTGAGGGAGTAATTTTGCTGCAGAGCTGGTTTAAGGGTGACAGCTGGGGTTTGCTTCCTGCTGCAGGGACAGGGCTGCTGTTCCTACAAATGCAAAGGCACAGAAACCACTCTAAAGGGTCCCTGCACCTCCAGGCTATCCCTTTATCCCTTTAGAGTGGACTGGGCACTTGGCGGAAGTCTCTTGTTTCAATCCAAACCCTTTTTGCATTCAAGCTGCTTTTTATTACTTGCTCTTAGATCTTAAAGCCTTTTGGTTTGAGTCTTGCCTCTGATTATCATGCCAGGGCCAGCATTTTCTTTATGAACCTGGAGCAATTTGGTTTGCTGTTCTTGCATTATGAAGTTTGGAGATGGGGAGGAGGTGGGTTCTTGCTATTAACAAAGAATGCATGTTAGCGTGGATGATCACAAAAGATTGTGGGGGTTTAAAAGAAATGAGACCTGAAAACACAGAACAAAGAAATGCCTATTTTTAGTGAACCAATTTGGCTGGTTTGATACCAGGCTCTTTTTCTAAACACAGGCAATAGTCTTTTGAGCATATTTTTAGTAGCAGCAACAAAACCCAATGTGCTTCCACCTCCAATCCTCTTACTGTAAAGTAAGAATTAATTACTGAAAGACCATTAGTTTTGTTCTTCTCCAACTGACCAGGCCAGGTCTCTCTTGGTCTCTGCCTAAGTTTGCAGTAACAGTCCCTGTGATTCAAAATGCCAGTTATGACACCAGACTGCCAAGCAGTTCCTGTGTGTCCAAAAAGCATCTTCTTACATTGTACAAGAGTTCAAACACTCTTGTTCTTCCTTAGCTTATTTCTGAGGGCCATAAAATTTTATTACCTTTTAAACAAACATAATTATTACTCTTAATTACTACAGGTTGCCTATCTTACTGAATAGCTGTGGTAAAATTCCTGGTGGACCCTTGCCTGTCTCTCATCTTGGAGTATAAAAGAGTTTGGTATTTTTGATTATTTTTCAGATAATGTAATGTTTTCTGGAAGAATTATCTGTTGTGTTTTGATTCTGCAAGGTGTTTGGATATAGTTTATGCAGAAGTAAGTCCTATTTGACAACATGGGTTAAATGAATCTTGGAGACAGTGACATGAGATTATTTTTTTTCAGAAGATGAGTAGCTTAACCCCTGCATTACCTAATGAAACCTCCTGCATTCTGCCACCAGTTTTGAACTACCACCAAAGCTGAGTAAGTTGGCAGAAGCTCCCAGCTATTACTTGTGTTTGGATAGTTTATAACACAGATTATGAAAGCCCTATTGTGCTAGAACAAAAATATTTTCCTTCCCCCAGATAATTTCCAATTTAAATTTATCATGAGAACTGTAATAGTTTATCAATGCAATGTGTGCTCAACAATTTTGTTCAGTATGCAAGAGTTAGGGCTTCTGATAGGCAGGTAGGAAGCAGGTGGTATTAAAAACTGTGGGCCCAAGCAAAATAAAGAATGTAATGGAAGTTAACTAATCCAGCATCTAAATATAAATGTGGTATCTGGCCTTTGACAAAACTCCACAAGCCCCTAAAATTTTGGGAAAATTCATGCCATGAACTTAGCAGCTCTCTCTCAACCCTAGTTAATGGCAACACTTCCCTATTTATGACCAGAACCTCGAAGAATTTGGAAGAAAATTAAATGTGAAAAGGGGGAGCTAGAATAAAAATGTCTCTGTGCCTATGATGCATGAGTGCTGGTCTGAAAAATGTTACAAAATACAGTGAGTTGGGACAAATATGCTTTGAATAAGAGTTGAGGATGTGCTATGTAGAGTACGTGTAACATCTTGTTCATGTGCAAGAACAGACTGTGAAAGAAACAGCTCTGTGTGGGAGAAGCAACATCAAAGGCCCTGAAAGAACTAGTGCTGTAATAGAAACCATTTGCCTTTGAGGACTCTTTTTGCTTCTGGTCACTTCTTATTTTTTTCCTCTTTGTTTTCCCCCTCCTGTATTAAAACACAGCAGCTGAGCAATGAAAGGAGCATGGGCAGGGTGAGTTTGGATGGGCAACAAGGAGGGATATGGAGAGCCAGCTGAATTTCTATGGGATTGCACAGCTTCCCTCCCTCCCACCCCCTTCACATGGAGTTTGCATCAGCCTGAAAGGCTGTGGTTGTGTTTTTTGGACAACCAAAGCAAGGTTGGAAGCTCAGCTTTGTGACTTTAGCCGAAAATTGAGCACATAGGATCGTCAGCTTCTGTCAAACGTGTCCTGCACGGGGGCAAAATTCTTCCTGGGGGCAGAGCAGGAGTGAGAGGGGGATTAGGGGTGGAGTGGGACAAAGGTGCCCCAGAAGCTCTGGGCACTGTGGGCGAGCAGGAGGCAGCTGGTGGCACAAGGGGCTGTAGATAAAGCAGCGTAACTGGGCAGGGGGAGGAATGTCACACCCTGGCAGCAGGCTGGCACACACACTGGCGTGCAGGATGCCATGGCTTTCCTGCCAAGTGTCGTGCTGTCCTTCCTGCCACAAGAAGGCTCAGGCTGAGGTAGAAAGGTCGTGGAACAGCTGAATGCAGGCAGCAACCTGCCCCGGCCACATCCTCCAGCCTGCGCCTCTCTGCGCGATTTTTGGGGAAGCAGCAGAACTTTTTCAGCCTTGCTTTACATCAGCAACGCAGAACATCGAGCATGAGGGACTTGGAGGGAGCCTCAGTGCCATTGAGCAGCGCATCCCTGCCGGTGCTGGAGCTTTGGAGCGCCGGGGAAGCTGCGGGGACCGGGATGGCCGCGGGATGGCGACTGGCGGCTTGCGAAGAGCAGGACCATGCTGGGGGAGCATCGCCTGAAGGGCTCCGATCTGCACTGACCCCACAGCTCCTGGTGCCAGAAGCTTCTGATGCTTTCTTCCTTTTCACTTACAATCTAACCTCTTCCTTTCAGAGTCAGCGCCAGCTTCCCAGATTGAGGGTATGGACTTACTCAGGCCAATAACCTTAAAGCTGATTTTAAAAAAGGTTCTCCGTGGCTGTAAGGATAACACAATCCTGTGCTAGAGAGCACTTGGATCAAATTTTCTTGACAATCTGAAATGAGTGAATAGGCCCTGCTCACAGTAAGAGAGCTTTCCTAGCAGTACATTGCACATTGGCTGTTTTCCCAGCCCCGTGGAGGCTTTCAGGAGCCTGCTGTGGCACATTTTGGTTGGGTTTAGGGGATTGCACAGTACAAGCTGGGGTTTTTCCCAAGTGCTGATGCTGCAGTGTTCCCATCAGACAGCATGCAGGAAGCATCTTCCTGTTGTTTCTCCAAGTGGGCACACACAGACCCGGATCCTGGAGAAGGTGCAGCAGCTTCAGCTCTGTGACCTGCAGCACACAGGGAATGTCTGCCTGCATGGAGAGCATCCAGCCACGGAGCCCTGCTCTGGTGCCCTGGCCAGCTGAGTGCTCAGGTAAGGCTGGCCTGAATGGGTCCCTGTGTCTGCTGCTGCTTTGGACAGAGATTTGGCTATTTACTGAAAACCAAGGTGTAAAGGGGCAGCACCAGCTCTGGGCTGTGTGTGAGAGCTGCCTGCAGGGTCATGGCTGGGATGGTCCAGCTGCTGCCCTCCAGCTCTGTGGTCTTACCCAGTCTGCAAAGGAGCTGGGGGAAGGTGGGGGAGCCTCATGATCTTCCCAAAGGGCTTTGGGCTCCCTTCACAGCAAGAGCCGTGCTGAGGCTGAGTGCTGTCAGCACTGCTGCTGCTGGGAATGCTGCTTTGGCCCCTGGATCAGCGGCTGTCTCGTTGTGCCTGTGCTACACGTAGTTTTGACTGGAGCTGGGAGCGGTTTCTCTGCTCTTTCATAGTTTGCCTTCTCCTTTGCACGTCTCCAGCAGGAAGTGCAGATTCAGCAGGCATTGTATGCCTCAGCAGCCTGCCAGCTGCCTTGCTGAAGCTAATTCACAATTCAAGTCACTCCTGATAAGTTTGCAAACAATGTGCAGTGATTTCTGAGCTAGATAGCAGCTGAGCCCAACTCCTCCACTTGAAGCTTGTCAGCTGGACAGAGCTCTGCACTCACCTAGGGAAGCTCATGGGTCAAACGTGGCCCCGATATTTTGTGCATCTGTGATGTTTCATAAACTTCTTATTTGTTTAGGTGTAGCTTTGAGTGTCATCATTATTATTGAAACCCTTGAGTGTGTGGAGACACAAAAAGCTCGTATGTTTAGTGTTGGTTGAACATGAGTTAGAAATTGAATCCAGGACTTCTGACCTGCAGTTCAGTTCTTTGATCACTGGATAATTTTGTTACCCCCTTTATAACACACTGGAATAGCCTGGGAATTTCACTGGGAATAACTCCAGTGAAAACAAGAGCGACATTTTTTATTTCAGCTAACTTCATGTGGCAGCCACTGGAAGTGTGCTCTGAGGAAGTGGCCCAGAGGAAGAGACTTTGCACTCGTGGCTCATCAGCCCTGGCAGGAAACAGGTCAAAGTTAGAAGGACTCAAAAGCTAATGAGTGAGTGGTGCAGCAAGCAGTGCAAGAAAGCAAGGCTCCACAGTCAGCAGGGGAGCTTGGGCTTCTCTGTCTCTATCCTTATTCCACTTCCTCTCTTCTTGTTCACGTCCATTTAACCAAAGAGATGCCAAGGTGATGATCTGTCAGATGAGAATTTGTAGGTGAGACTGTGCCCTCTCCTCATCTGAGCAAGCTCCCTCTGGAAAATGAGGCTGGTGCAGAAAACACACTGTTTAATCTTCCTCAGTATGTTTTTATGAAATTAAATTAAATCCTCATGACTCTATATCTCAGCTTGGCAGATACTGGGTTTTTTTTTTTTCAGACATGTGTAAAGTCAGTAGTCAAGATGTAGCAGCCTAAAACTGCAGGGTTTGACCATTCTGTGCAAAAATTGGTACAATACAGTGGCAGAAACAGGAATATGTTATATGACAGATGATAGCAGAGATTTTTTCCCCTAGGTAGGCTTTGGGAAGCTCTCCTTGGTGCACCTTCCAAAGGGCACAAGGTCACATCACAAAGCAGGCTTACCTTTTGGAGTGTATTTGTCTCTGTGCCATGAGTTGGGTCGGGCTTTTTTTACTCCTCCTTTAGTATTGGAATTGAAAATTCAATTTGGAGAAATGTGAAAGCAATTGGGCCTAATCCATTCCTGTTGTTACTCTTTTTGTTTTCACTGGAGCTACTCCAAGGCTGAATTCAGCTTATGATGAACAACTTGTTCTCCAAAGCTGGAACTTAGGGGAGAAGGTTTTAGGGATGATCACGCAATTCTGGGGCTCCCTCTCAAACAGCTGAAGCTCCCACAAGAGGGATGATATTTGGTGAGTTCAGATTATTGAATTTAGTACAGCATTCTAGTAATAAGCCCTCTAGTCATAATAAGACATTATTATCCCTTAGAAGAATTACTTGAATAAAACCCAACTGCTTGCTTAGATTAGATGGAAAAATCCTGTTGATCTCATTTACCAGTGAGCTGCACAGACACCAACCCAGAGCAAACACAAATGGTTCTGAGCCTGGTAATCCTCATCCTGCTCCCTGTCCTCTCATCCTCTCTGGGACCAGCCCCTCCAGGGCTGCTCCCTGTGAAATGTTCACTGCTCTCTGTGCACTGACCATCTCATCTGCCGCCCAGAGAAGTCTCCAAAGATGTTACAAGCCCTAATTCTGTCTTGGTTAGATAGAAAAAGGAGGGTGCTACAAGCTATGGAGAAGCTGAATGCTACTAGCTGAGGACTTGGTGCTGTTTATTTGAGTTTGGGGTGGACAGGTTGTTTGTTTGTTGTTTTTTTTTTTTTCAGGATCAAGGATATTGCTGTTAAGAACTAAGATGAAACTCTTTACAAATTTGCAAGATGAACCAGTCCTCACTGCTGGTTAATTCCTCCTGTGTTCCTGTGAGCTGCTGGAGGGGTCATGGCAGAGGCAAGATCCCCATGGTAAAATTAAGCTTTTCCTTCTTGGAGAAATAACCATTACTGTCTCTCTGGCTCACTCAGTTCCATTTACTTTCTAAACAACTTAGATTACAAAGGGCTCCAGGAGGGGTGCAGCACTTCCAAAGAAAAGGCCTGGATGACTTTCTCCAATTTAAGAGAGTCTTGTGAACGTTGTGCTTCCTGCCCTTGCTCAGAGAAGAGGATTTATAACAGATGCTCCTGCAGCCTGCATTGTGTGATTTGAAAGTAGAGGATGCACCAGTCTTGCTGTGCTTGGGAGGCCAGGGCAGCTTTCTGCTGAACAACACCAGTCCTGGCAGACAAACAGAAAATCCCAGAGCCCAGCTGACACTGAGATTCCCTTCTTGCAAGAGCTCTGGTGTGCTGGGACACATCTCCTCAGCAGCTTTGCTCAGGCAGTTTCCAGTGCCACAGCCATGGTGTTCCTTGGTCTTGCTGAGGTTGAGCACTTCTCTGTTACCCTTTGGTTTTCACCTTCTTTACTTCTTCACCTCCTCCTTTACTTCTGACCTGGGGATGCCAGCTGCTCTCCCTGCTGCTGCTCCTTCCACACTCTCTCTATTTTCAGTGATCCAAGCTGCACTTTGTGCCCCCACAGCCCTGACCTCCAGGGATGGTACAGAACGTGCTAAGAATAGAAACAGCAGTACAGGAAGGGGCATTTACAGTGCTTATTACACTTAATTAGGACTAGAGGAAGTGCTTCCTTAATGCCTCAAATGATGCACTGGGTGAAATACTTTTTTCAGCAGTTAGATACTTAGGAAGTGGCAAGGAAGAGCCCCTCACTTTTAAAACAACAAAAAAACCCCCAACTTCCAGTCTTACTTGTCTTGACCTGTTTCTCTCCACAGCAGAAACTGCATCACTAATAAACTTGTTGGGGTAATGGTCAATGAGATGCTGTTTCACTTAGATCTGGGGAGATTTTAGGGAGAAGGCAGAAAATTTGATGTATTCAAGACAGTCACTGGCCTCAAGGTCAGTCAGTGGAACAAACACCAGGAAGTCAAGAAGCACAAAAAGAATAGTTAAAATCTTACAAACCACAACATGCAGGGATTATCATACCAAACTTTGGCTAAAGTTCACATGGCAAAGAAGATCTTTGTATCTTTGTCTTCTCAGAACTGCAGCTCCTACTGTTTGTCCACCATGCTGCTCCAAGACATAATCACTTGCACAACTTTACCTGACCATCAAGAGGGCTGTAATTTGGACCAAGACTTCAACACTAAACTGAGCAGGTTTTTGCTCAGCTGAAGCACAGGGCAGGAGGGGGTGGATTTTCCCTTCCATGGCTGTAGCTCTGCAGGGCACCCAAACACAATGTAAACGCTTGAATTCATACAACAGGGATTTGACACAGTTCAAAGGTGGGATATGCTCAGCCTCCCTGTGTGTAAACCTCACCTTCACTGAGAGTCCAGCACTAGGTAAGACTGGAGGTTTTTGCCTCCAGCCCTGCTGAGCTCTTATTTTTTCTCCTGTTTGGGCCTTTGCTTCACTTCCCTTCAAACACTTGGCTCTAGGAATTGGTACATCTCATCTTTCACTTTGAAACTCTCTGTTCCTACTAGCTACTGAGTCACCTGGGAATTGCAGATCCTAAGAGTTTGGAAGCTACAAGATGTAAAAAAATAAAACCTTTAAAAACGGTATTGTCTTAATTCCCAGAGGAGATGGATTGTAACTCATGTCCTTGAATGCTCTGCTTAGGTGCTCAGCCCATTTCTCTTGTAAACTAAAATTTTATTTATTTTGCCATATGAAATATTTGCCTGAAAACTTCCTTCTATCCCCAGGCTAGTAGTAATGCCTGTGGAGAAAGACTGACTGCTTCTTAAAGATCCCTCAAGTCTGGGTGAAGGACACAGAAAAGCAGCCTGGTGTGGGGAGTTGGCAGGGGTGTTTCGGATGAATTATTACACAACCTCACAGTGTACTCATTTGATTCAGGCATGAACTTTCCTGAAGCAGGGAATTTTGGGTTCTGCAATCAGCTGTGAGAGCTGAATATCACTTTCCAGATGGGCATCCACACTTCTTGAAGAAAACCCCAGTTCAATCTTGGCCATCAAGGCACTGATTATTTTCCTTGGTGCTGTTCCAGAGCTCCATAAATGCTCTGTGTCCTAGAGAGGTTGTGACTGGTCTGGGGGCTGCTGGTCAGACCTGTCTGCAGAGGCCACTGGACCTGAGAGCATCGAGGGGCACATCAGGACCAGGCCCTGGTGAGTGCTGCGGATTTTATCTTTTTTTGATCCCTTTAATTTTGCTGGAGTGCACAGCCATACTTCAGGACTTCCAAGGGCTGCTTCTCTAATCTCCCCAGCAGGATTACTGCCTCTGGAAATCATGAGGGCTTGGACTGGCTATCAGCTTTATCAGGAAAGCTTCTTTCCAGCCAAGCCAGTAAGAGCTTTGCTAAGTGGGAATCTTGGGTTGAAGCTGCTCTTGTCACATTTCACAGATGGCCTCAATGAATGATTTACTGGGAGAGTAGATTAGCCAGATTCCTCCAACTGCATCTCAAGTCACATAAAGCACTAGGTTTTGTTGGAGTGTGGGCAATTCCTGTTTCTTTAGCCTGGTTAGAGTGTTTTACAGTGACTAATTGCCCTGCACTCCCTTCCCTGGGAATGGGGTGTCTCCTGGGGAGATCCACGCTCCTCGCACGAGCCTTGCCCGTGCCCTGCAGCAGCCGTGCCAGAGCAGGCTGCTCCACATGGCAGGAGTCCAACAGCCTGGAGATGTGGTGTCTCCAGCTGTGCTCTGCTGGAGAGGTTCGTGTCCTTCTGGAAGACAGATGATAAAGGAAATACTTAAAATATGCAATGAGGTGTTCCCATAAAATTATCAAATGCTTTGTTGAATCTTCCTGTGGAGAAAACCATCACTGCAGAGTTCAAGTGAACAGTGGTTTGGGAAGGGCAAAACCTCTAGCTTTAGTATTTTAACTAGTCTCCAAGGCTTGGATGAGCTCTTCTGGGGGAAGGGAGATTACCCCGTGTTTGTCTGTTACAGAGTTTCTCACATTTTTCTCCTTTACACTTGGCAACCAGAACTCTGTGTCTGCCTCTCTATGGCAATTTCTACAGATTCTGACTGTTTTAAAAGACTACAGTATTGATTTAAGCATCCAAATTGGAAAAACAGGGTTTAAAGTGGACCAATTTTTTTCTTTAGAGTGTGACTTGTTAAAGATCTTTGTTAAATTATTTACAAGGCATGTAACAAGATGAACAAATCTTTGCATGTAATCACTTGCATGACTTTCATTGTGCTTTTCTGCCCTGCCCACTATATCAAAACACAATCACAAGATCACTAAAGGGCTTCAGGGAGGGATGGGCCATTGCTATCCATGTATGAATTGTACATGCCATAAAGCCTAAAGCAGTATTGGCATGTGCTGATCTCCTGTGAACAGGCTTTGATTTACAGCCCTCAGAGATGAGAGCTCTGGGGCTCACTGGGGGAATCAACCCCTACCAGAAATGCTTAAAATACTTGGAGTATAGCCAAAAGGCTAAGAAAAGAGGGGTTTGTATCTTCCTTTCTCTCTGCTGTGATCTCCTCTCATACAACACTTAAAGCTGTGCAAGACACAGGGATGAGAAGAAACAGCTTTGTACTCAAGACATCAAAAGTTGTTGAAGATCCACAGTCTGCCCCAGCAGTACAAGCATAATAAAATTTGCTACTTTTCTGATTTTTTGCATCACCATTTAGACAGAAAAATTTGGGCTGAACCTACAGCCTGGAACTTCCTTTTGGTTGAACCTGTGGCATAAAGGAGTCCCCTTGATAAAAGCTCCCCCACTGCAGTTCTTCAGGGCTAAAATTTTGCCACCATAGCAAAATTTTAGCCCTGAAGCACTTGAGGGAAGAGTTAGAAAAAGTATAGGAACACAACTGTTTAGGATGTGTAGGAACAACATTCTGTTTTCTTCTCAGTGAAGGCAGAAGTAAAACATTTGTGCACATTTCCAGGACAGAATATTATCTGCCACCAGTTGTGTCTCATATAAATGAGCTATGCATTGGCATTTGTTGCACAATTTTTCAAGCCTATCAGTCAGCAGAGCAGACCTTTATTTTGAGATGACTCTGTCCTCCTCATGATCCAACTGGCCTGTAGGAGCAGAATATTAACACCAAACATCACTTTAAAAGCAAATGGCATCCTTTGAAGTTTAAATATAAAAAAGGACAGCCTGTGTTTATGAGGGCAACACCAAATCTCAGGGGATTACTCACCATGGCAATTTTTGAGGCTGTTAAGTCACTCACACAGATTTTATCCATAGGCTGCCAGACCAGAAGGATCCCTGGGGTTGCCTGAATGTGATCTCCCACCAGTGACCATCGAAGGTCTTGGAGCCCTGCAAGTCCTCATCAAAGACTGAGACTCCACTTCTCATTGCCAAGCAGATGGGGCTGTTGATCATGGTTTGAAAAGGCACTGTCAAAAGATGGAGACACTAACAGGAAGAATTCAAAGCTGTGAGAAAAGACTGAGAAATAGTGAATGTCCTTAATTTTTTAATATCTCATTATTTTCAGACGTAAGAGTGTTGTGCCAGATGCACCAAATAGACACCTGGGACCCCGATGTCACACAGAAAAGGTGCTGGGCTGTGATTCCAGCGTTCCAGCCTTTTGCTGTGCATCCCACCATGTGTGCATGTCTGGAAGCCTCTGTCAGCAACGGTGGGACAGCTCTGGAATACACTGCTAAAAAACTTTCCTCTTGCAATGATATCTTACTTCTTTTTCTATTCCTCCTGTAACTGCCAGTGCAGCAGTGGATCTGCTCCGACAGAAGGGATTGTTCTCCACGTGTCTGTGATGCCTCAGGTTTTAGCTTCTATATTTTTCAGATTCTGTACTGCTTTCTGTACTGCTTCTGAGCTTCATATGAGGGGATGGTAAGCTTTCTTCACAGAGTAGGTAGACAAAAAAATTCCTTCTCTAACTTGGGACCAAGGACAACTGACCCAAGTTTCAGGCCCAAGAGCATAAACAACATGGACTGAAGAGAGAAAAACAAGAATGGGACAATTAACTCCAATATGGAAATGGAGCAGAACTTATAAAAGTGAGTGACCCCGTGAGCCATCATGCATTTTGTGACCATTTTGTTTCATCTTGGGGGTAGCCCTGCCTGGGCTCTTGTGCTGCCCATGGTGAATCCATTGAGGAGATCCTTTTAATAAATCCCTACTTTATTCTTTAGCTTTGTCTGGTCTCTGTTCCAGCCTTCACAAGGCATCACCTGCCCTTGTCCATGCACAGATTTAAGATACCCCTTTTCAAAGGCAAACAGGAATTGGAAAAAGCAATGTTAAACATTGAAATTAAAATGTATCTATGAGATTACTTAAAATGCATATTTCTTACTATTTTGTGAGGATTCTGCATTAGGGTGATTGCCTGGGAGCAGAGACAGGCAGGGATAGGAAAGGAAACAGCTGTGATCCCTTTTTGGAGCATTTGCTCTTATTCATCCCCTCAGATGTATCCCAATGTAAATAACCTTTCAGATCACTTTACAAAGTGATTGCTAAGTGGGACTGAGGAGAAGGTATTCTGTAATGTAGTAATTCCTGTCTTTTCTCTTTATTTTCCTGGTTGGTCATGGAGAGGAAATGTGGCTGGTCGTTAATTTGAAAGCATTTGCAGTGGTGAAGGCATAATAGATATGAAAGTTCACAGGACTCTGACAACTGCCAATGTATTGAGGCTTGCAGATGAAAAAAATGAAAGCTGCCTGTAAAGCATTCCCATTTGTCATGGAAACCCCACAATACCCCAGGACAGCTGCTTGCCTGGGATCTGTACCTCATATGTAAGGAACCAGAACAGACATGTATTCTATTATACAAAAAGTACAACCCCACAGAGACAGGTAAATAATTTTTATAAGGGAAAAACACCATCTAGAATTAATGTTTTCTGTAAAAGATGATTTTCAGGGTTTGCTTGCTATCCACCATAATCAAAAATATGGCTTAAAGTACATAAATTACAGTCTTTTATATTCTAATGCCCTAGTGCCTCCTCTGGAGATGGATTTGGTGGTGCTGCAAGTGTGGCTGGAGAGCTGGTGGGGTCTGGTTTGGCAAGGAGCTCTTCTGCAGTTGAGCACAAAAGTGAAACAGGTGGCAAAAGTTTCCTGGAGATGCTGGGTCTGGAGTCTTTCCTCCCCTCAAGCCACTCTGTGCTTTTGCCTCCCATAACAAATAATTTGGTGAGGTTTCACTTGAAAATTAGAATTAAAAAAAAAAAAACAAAACAGTCCAGGGCTGTAGTTTTACCAAGCAGTTGGGTATTAGGAAAGGCTAAGCTGTGATGCAGAGGTAACACAAATTTCATGCAAGGGCTGAACTTCTGGAAAATCTCCCTCTGGTTGTTTTGGGGTGCATTTATTGTTCATGGGGTATCTTTACAAGGGTTTCAAACACATCCTTGAACCTCAGTGTGACCGGGTTGCTTGGAAGACTGCCACAAAAGGTGCCTCAAAAAACCAGGGGTATTGCTGTGAAGTTCAGGGAGGAGAAATAATCCCCATCAAGCTCCCCATGAGCCTCCTTTTTGGTATATTTTTAGCAATGGCTCCTTTTAGTTCAGTCTGTGTCAGGAAATTCTGTACTGAGCTTCCCACTGTGCCATGCTGTGCCACACACGTCACAAGGGCAAAGCACCTCTGCGTGGAAGAGTTTATCTAATATTAATTTCCTTAACTTTGGCAGATCCAAGCATTTCCTCCCATCCTTTCTTCTTCTCTCCACTTCTTGATTATGGCTTCAAATAACCAAACCAAGGAATACAGTAAACCTTGTAGAACAGGGGTTACAAAATAGTGAAAATAAAATGGCCAGAGAACCCAATTGCAGGCTTAGTGTGTGCAGATATAGGAAAGTGAAAGAATACTGAAGGAAGCTTTCAAAACTTTGTTTCTTTGCCAGTGCTCAATCTCCAGACACTAATTTAGCTGTGCTAGTAATGCATTTAAATGTGTTCCTCTGTTAAGCAATATATCCCCTGTGGAGCAGCTCTGGAGCAGCTGTTAGCTACAGGCGCTCTGCAGGCTGAGGTCTCTGGGTCAGGAACACTCATCTTCCAGCAGCACAGCCCCTGCACTGCTCCACACACCCAGGATCTGTCTGCAGGCAAGGTGAGTTCCAGGCTTCAAAGTGCTGTAGCTCAGCTGCTGACAGAGGCTGAGGGCAGCTCGAGTGTTTGCTGCTCTGTCAGAGGGAGACGACGTGCCTGGAGACTCAGCACTGTCCCTTGTCACACCTGGAGACTCAGCACTGTCCCTTGTCACACCTGGAGACTCAGCACTGTCCCTTGTCTCACCTGGAGACTCAGCACTGTCCCTTGTCACACCTCTGCTGACAACACTGACCTCCCTGTGAGGAGCAGTGCCTGGCTGCTGCATGCTCACTGCAAGTCACATAACCTGCTGCTCCTATGCATTCAAACACAGAAACTTCATTTTCTTTAAGTTGGTCTTCCTTTTCCAGTGCCTCCACGCTTACAGAGTGTCCATGGCCAACTGAGACACCAGGGCTGAAAGGAGAACAACCTTGACTTTGTTGCTGCTAAAGAGAGAGATTATATTTAATGTAAAAGTTATTGTCTTGGGCAGCCTTCATCTCACCAGTGCACAATTCCAGAATGCTTTAAATTAAGTCTGGAGGCTAAAAGTGTGTTAGTCATTGCCCATACATCCTGGGGGAAGCAGAGCTCTCTAAAGTTATTGTTAGCATTAGGCATCTGGTTTATGTTTATAATGATTTATTCAGCAATGGGAGACAGGTAAGGAACTATTGTGAAAGACAAACTAGAAAAGATTGGGTTTTTCAAAGCTCTGAAGCCATTGTTAAATCAAAGTTGTCTGACTTCAAAAGGAATATATAACTTGATTAGATTCTTTAAACAATGTACAATGCTCACAAAGTTGGCAGCTATTATTAGAGGCAGAGTTGGTAGCACAGCCTGCTCTGGAGGTTCATGTCCCTTCAAAGTACAAGATCCTGTTCTTATGTCATGACTCTGGCTTTTGGGAATTTTTTAAGGAAAAAAATTCAGCCAAGTACTTCAACAGCCTGTGAGAGCCAGGGAAGAATACACTAGTTTTTTCAGTGTTAGAATAATTCAGGAAATCCTTTCTTTGGAAATATCTAATGCTTCCATACTTTGAAAGGGGGACTTGAAATCCAATGTGGGAAGATAGGCTTTGTGCTAAAGAGGGCGTGCTGCCATTGCCATAAGGATCTGGCCACAGCTTTTTTTTTTCAGTTTTATGAGATTCTGAAGAAGTCTAGTTTGTGTCTGTGCAGTAGGGCTTTGCAAGGGCTTAGCTGAGATTAGAGAAGAGTCTCTGCTCGTGTCTCCTCATGCCTGGCCCTCTCTGGCCTGTGCCATTGGTGGAATTGGTCTTTCCCCTCTCCTTGCAGCAGGAGCTGGGGAGGGACAAGGGGAAGCCCATCCACTGCAGGGATGTTGGAGCAGGGATGGGAGCTGTGCCTGGAAGAAGGAGCCAGTGGGACAGGTTGGGAAGGAAAGGTTGAGAGGTTATGGTTCTTTTCCTGTTTGATCCCCTCTCCCAGCCTGATGGGTATTCCCTTCCTCTCCTGCCTGAAAAGACACTCACAAGCAACAATCCTCATTCCCTCCAGGCGTGGATCAGGCAGGGAACAGCTTCTGGCTGCAGCTGCCCCAGGTTGTGGAGCTCCCACCTCACGGGCAGCAGGGCAGCCCAGGCCCTCCTGGCATGGAGGTCAAAGCTGAGTCTGGAGATCTTCAACTCTTTGCTGAACACATGGTTATTCACCTCACCCACTTTTTGGATAAAGATGCAGTTCTGTCTCGCAGCTGATGCACTCAGCAGGTTCAGCCTCCACAGTGGCAATCCCAAGCTGCTGGACAGGGGCTTCTCAATTTTCTGTGACACAGAATGGATAAATCCTTGTCTTCACTCCCTTCTCTGCCTTGTTCCAGACTAACCTGCCTTCCTGCTGAGGAGCCACAGTGAAGGGCCACAGGGGCTGGGCAGCCAGAGGTGCCAGCTGCCAGAGCAGGCTGGGGATTTCCAGTCCCTGTTGTTTGCCTGCAGGATGCAAACCAGGTCTGTGCAACTATAACTGCATACAGGCATTGGATTTACTCACCTTTTCTTTTTTTTTTTCCCATTCTCCAAAACACCCCCTGACCCAAGGGATGACCCCACCTTGGGTTTGCCACCCTGCCAAGATAAAATTCAATAAAATGTTGTGAATTTATGGGGCATACACTGCTCATGGAGAACTTATCAGGGCTCTGCTATAAATTCAGCATGCCTGTGCCACCAGGTTCAGCCAGTTCTGGGCAGAGTCACTTGTCAGACCTGCAGCCATCCCACAATGGAAATAAACAACCCATGTTTTGCATGGTTGCCCTTCACCTGAAGTGAACCCTACACTCACCACCCATCCCATCATTCTTTGTCCTGGCCAAGGCACCACCTCAGAGATGTCCCTGGGCTGGGAAGAGCACAGCACACCCTGAATACCTCTGAGTGACATCCCACTGTGGGACACACACGGAGTGAGGACCAAACCAACACTCAGCGTGGGGAGTTCATAGAGCTGCTGGAAGAAAGTCAACATCCCACTCTTGCTCCAGTTAGAAAACTGTCCCAGCACTGGATCCACCCAGCTCAGCTAGAGCAGGGCTGCTTGGCCAGACAACAGGCCTGGCTCTCTCCAAAGTGGATGAGTGCCAAAGGGGATTTTTAATTTCCAGATGCTTTTAAAATAAAAGTAAAGCCTCTGCTGTAAACTGGCTTTGAATGGACGCCTCCCCTTCAGCCAAATAGCTGACTGATATGGGTGAGCTGACTGGGCAATAAAACCTTTCACTGCAATCTGGTGCATGGTGAGCACTGGTCAGCCCTGTGCCAAGGTCTGCAGTAGGACAGGGGGGTCCCTGCAGAGCTGGGGGTCCCACAGAGCCTGCCCTCCCCCCAGAGCTTGCCTTCCCCATGGAGCCTGCCCTCCCCACAGAGCCTGCCCTCCCTGCCACCAGCAGGCAGACCTGCTCCCTGAGCCCTCTGACTCCAGATAGAAATCTTTATGCACTCTTGATTTCCATTTTGCCCTCC